AAAAATGGAGGAATCAGAGCACTGGAGGCACATGGTAAAGTTTAAGAACAGTTGCTGTGAGGGCATTTGGCAAACAAGTTGGAAGAGAAGCAGAGTGTGGATGTGGAGTTGTGTGATTCCACTGATGATTTCAGAGGTGGCAATCTGTTTCCTTCATTGGAGAAAGAGCTCCTTAAGAACAAATGATTTCTATACAGCTCTGTTGAACTGAGCTCAGCCAGCCCTAACTACTGCCTAGAAGCCTGGTCTCTAACATTCCAGGTGTACCCTAACCTTCTCAAAATTCTAGCTCACTCATTCTCAGGCATGACCTGCCTCTGTCTTAATGCCTATTAATGGGTTTCTCTCTACTTTGCACAATCTAACAGTTTTTCTTGTTCTCTTCAAAGGCCAATCCCTCCATATGTGCTATGGAGGAGCCTTATTTTATCAACTACCTCCATTCCCACTACTTTGTTTCTAGCTTGATCTCAATCCTGCACCCCTTCCCATCAGAAAGTCAAATTGGCAGGCATTTATATGCAAGGGAAAATTGGAAGTTACAATGTGCTTAGGTTTCCAACTTGGGGGATTAGTTGGACAGCTGTGTTATTTGCTGAGATAGCAAACAAAAAGAACAAGCTTTGTAGGAAAGAAATCAAGCGTAGACAGATTAGATTTTCCAACATCAAATTGATCTGCTGAGTGAATAGGCTCATATATTAATGTCAAGGATGAATTAAGGTTTAGAAGTTATCAGCATGTGAGTCATAATTAAAACCACAAGAGAAGGCAAAATCATATAAGCAGAGAGCTCAGTATGGAACCCTAGGGCACCTCAAGGTTAAGCAATTGGCAGAAGAGTAAGCACTCACGAAAAGATGGAAAAGGAAAGTTCCTGCAGTGAAAAGGAGGAAGGGAGTCACAGAAACCAAGAGAACAGAGAGTTTAAAGACTGAATGAGAGAACAGTCCAACAAATCCAACAGAAAGCACCATTGATATACAGACTGGGTTCAGCATTCATTAGGAAAAGCAGCATGAAGGCCACAGGTAACCATTAGAGCAAACACTACTGGTGCCTTGCCCATAACCCCTTGCCCATACCACTCTTGTGCTCAGCCCCACTTCCAGATGCCAGCACTTGCCTTTCTTTTCCTGAGGGTTTGTATCTTGCTGCTGCAGCCCACTTTGCCATCTCCTTAACAAGCTAGATGTGTCAAAGAATGAATGCCCCCACCCTTGAAGCAGCATTGGCTAACTAACGACTGACAAGAACTGGTGTATAAATATCCCGGTTCCTCCAGCCCTCTGGTGAGATAACTGACGCACATGTCTACACTGTTTCCCAGGGGTCCTTGGCAGGACTAAGCTCCAGGAACCCGTGGTGAGAATTGGTTACTGTCTTTTTAAAAATTGGCTCTTTCCCTCCCTTGTCTTGCTTCCCACATTTCTCCAGTGTCCCCTTCACCTCCCAAATAAACTTCTTGCCCTTGCATTGTTACTTCTGGAGGAATCTGCACAAGAGGAATTCCAGGGGCAGGGGGTGCTAAGGGAAGAAATTAGAATGCAATGAATTGAAGAGCAAATGGGATTTGAGGAAGTAAAGATGATGAGTTTACACTATTGTTTTTAAAATTTGTCTAAGGTAGAGAGAAAAGAGGATAGGGCCAGACGTGAACACACAGTCAATATGAGAGAGCAAAACATGTCAAAATGCTAATGAGAAAGAGACAAGATACAAAGGCTGAAGTGGTTAGGGGGGTTGCTAAGTTGTACAGCAAGACCCCAAAGGAGATAAGAGGTTGGAAGATCACAGGGAGGGATGGGGAACTGGCCTCATCAGCGAATAAATGCTTCATCCTCTGAGGCTGAGGGGAAGGATTTAAAGACAGATGCACATTCTGATGAATGTGTGGGTGCTGGTGGAGCCAAGACTGTCTGGGGAGTAGCTGGGATTCATCCATTTTTGGTGGCACCAACCCACCAGGCTACAAAGCTTTTCCCAAACTGTGCTCAGCAGCTCTAGGCACACATGACCATCCTCAGCAGCTGGAAAACCAATGCAGGCAGGTGGTGAGCTTGATCTAGAATCAGGGATTTATAAAACGAGTGTTGAAGGAGAATGAGAGACAATTGGGTTAAGGCTATCAGAGAAGGCGTAGTTAACCATGTAGTCTGGACCAGGTAGGACCTGTGACCAGACAGAGGTTGTCACACTCCAAAACAACACACAGCTCCCAGGACTGGAAGCCTCTCTGGCTAACCTAGGCCTCTGCAAAAGCATCTGCTCTGCATAAGCATTGTGCTATAGGGACCACCAGGATGTATAAAGGCCTGCTCCCAGATAGGAAAGACGGTGTGCCACAGGTAGGGCAAAATTCAAGAGTTCAGTCACTCAAAATAATAAAAGCAGTAATGCAACCTGAGACACAGGCAGCACACGAGCCTGAACAGAAAGCAAAGAGCTCAGACTTTTTCTCTAGCTCTGCTGTTTCCTGGAAAATCAGAGTCTGCCAGGCTGCTTGTGTGCAGGGCTCAATTTAATAATATAAAACATGCTGTATAGAAAAAAATGAGTCAAAGGCACACACAGCACTTCCGAATATATGTGACTGATTGACTCCAAATTAACCACCCACAGCCATGGTGGTTTTCAAAGAACCACAGATCCCCAGCTCCCAAAAGCAGAATACTAAAACCAAAAGAGGCCCAGGACGTACCTGTTAAACCCAAAGGCAAGGACAACCTTGTGAATTCCTAAAATCTTAGAATTGAGAGGACAGAATAAACTAAGAGGGAGATGCCACTGTTACCTCCTATCAAATATTAAGAATGCTACCATGTTTAATCAGGATGCTGCAACCATACAATCGGTTTCTAATATTACATCATTCTCTGGTTTTTGAGAAGACCTATCCAAAGGAGTTATTAAGAACCCAATTAGGCCTTTGCCAAAACAAGCAATACAACCTCTACAAGCAATACTTCAGAAATAGCACTGTTTCAGAAAGCAAGTTGGCTTCAGAAAATCTTTTTTATCCTTTCTTCATGTGCAAGTTAGTAGCTCTGCTTAAGAGCAAACATTTCCTATCAACCTGCCTCCCACTCCTTCGATTCAAAATAGTCAATCAGTATCAATAAAAGGAATAGACAATATGACGAAGAAGTGGCTCCAATATATTACCTGAAGACCTTTGGGAATCTAAGAAGGAAAAATGAATATCTCAAGTAGGACTCCGATAGTGCATAAGTGAAGTCATGGGACATTATGAATGAAGCCTTTCAGATCCTCTGTTCCCAGGTAAGGGACAATGGCTAAGAAGGTAATAACAGCCTGTGGAGGCACCTTCTCTGATATCCACTGAGATTTGTTAACTGAGGGAGTCAAAGCACGCCAGCACTAGGATACCTCCTGAATTTAGGTGAATACACTGAGCAAGGTTAGGTCCAGACAAATCTGTGAGTATGGTGAAGTTTGCTTTCATTGTCTTCTAACTCCTTTCCGTGTCCTGATTGAACTCCAGCCACCCAAAGCCACCACCATAGGTGACATGCCTTTTATACAACTAATTTCCTCTGTTTTATACATTTTCTAACTACTTCCATATATCAATACTTACCTCTCCTAGGACCCTTCTACTCATGCTCCTTAAGAGGGTCTCAGTTAATGACTAGGTAACCAGTCATACAATTTGCTGTTAAAGTTTTAGTGAGTAGTTACTTCCTTCACAAATTAAACTTGCCTAATCTTGTGCCTTTTTAATGCTTTCACTTTTGGTACCATAAATTTGTCACTTTCCACATTTCTTTACCTCACATCACAAATAATCTGGATTATTCATTTATGGGTTGTTTAGGTCAGCACTGATCATTGTGTAGTCTGTGTACTGTCTACATAACTATACCTTGAGGGGAGGGGGTGGTGAATTCTTACTAAAAAGGCAGATGCCCAGGCCTTAGTGGTGACCCAAAAACCATATTCTCTAGGGGCATCTTTAACATTCTCCCCCATTGACTTTTCTTCCTCCTGAATCAGTAAACATCATGTGATACCTACACACAGTAGATGCTACAGAAGTGCTGGGTATCAGAATACAATTAACACCAACTTATAAACAGGTTCACTTCCAAATAATAAAAGCTTTAAAAAGTTGGCATGCTGATATACCTTCACAACAGTAAATAAATAAATAAATAAAAATAAATTTAAAAATTGGTCAGGCATGTGTGTGTTGGGGCAAGAATTTAGGGGGAATCTCTGTACCTTCCCCTTAATTTTGCTGTGAACCTAAAACTGCTAAAAAAAAAAAAGAAAGAAAGAAAGAAAAAGAAAAGAAAAAAAAAGAAAAGAAACAAAACAAAAAGAAAAGAAAGAAAGAAAGAAAGAAACCTAGCCTACTAAGATAGGGTAGGTGAACATGTTCATTCCTGGCCCTCTTTTTGTCTCTACATGACTCACCTTGCTTTTGCCGTCTACTCATCTTATCCTAATGTCCCTTGTAAAGCCCCAAACTCCTGCTTATGGTTTTCATGGTCCCATGTACATGCATATTACGAAAACATTACGGCACTGATCCCTACACGATGACACCTATTCTCTTATATGGTCCTGGTGAATCTCAAATAACACAGCTTCCTCGCTGCCATATTCCCTTCCCCCAGCACATCAAATGGAACTTTACAAGTATACAATAGGATTTGTTGAGTAAGTGAATGAGTGAATGAATGAATGGTATTGCTACTGAGATTGACATGAGATGAAGTGTGTTGGGAGAATGGATGGGTCCAATGGATTACCCTCTCCTTTTACATATAAGGATATTGATTAGAGTTACCATTCCTTATCTCCCTGAGGCACAGGCATTCAGGAACTCATTTATTCAATCTGTTACCATGGTCTATAATCTCAATTGATAGATTAACAACTTCCAGTCCTATTAAACAAAGGAAGCAATGGCCACAGCCACCCAAAGTATGCACCAATAGCATCTAGGAGGAAACCAGAAGCCACACTAGGTATTTCAACCAGAGGGGATTTAATGGAGGGAGTTGATTACACAGGTTGGATAATAAGGCTGAAAAGGGCCGTGGAGACAGCCCGGTGTTAGTAAACACAGGAAGCAGCTACTAACCTTAGGGCTGGGGAACAAAAGGGAAGAGATGGTGTTACCAGAACCTAGAAGCTTTGACGGGGGACCCCCCACGACTGGCGCCTGGCCCTCTGACGGGGCTGCTGCGCTGCTGTTGCTTGGACTTCTGAGGGGGACGCTGCTTGGCTGGCGGTGGTCGGACCTCTGGGCGGGGGCGTGGCTGACGCTCAGACCTCGGAGGGGACCGTGGCTGACGCTCAGACCTCGGAGGGGACCGTGGCTGACGCTCAGGCCTCGGAGGGGACCGTGGCTTGGCTGGCGCTCTGACCACCGCGGGGGGCGCAGCTGGCTGTTTCTTGGGCTTCTGAGGGGACGTGGCACGGCGCCTGGTTCTGAGAGGGCCAAAAGAAGCTGGAGGCGGGAGCCAGGGCTCTCCTCGGCTGCTTAAGCGACGCTGGCAGGAGCTGGAAACAGGTAGGAAGGCCCTGCTCCCCCACCCACCTTCCAGTCTCCCTGGAGTGCCTTCCGGTGTCGGAGCCTAACCCGGAGCCGACTGGGGGGAAGAGTGGGGTGCGGAGCGGGAGGGGCGTGCCCGGAGCCGAGACCACGCGCTGTGCCCAGCCGTGCCGCCGGGCTGGGCGACCGCTCACCTGGTCTTTTGGCAGGCGCAGCAGATCCAGTCCTCCTCTTTCTTCTGGTAGAAGCAGCCGCTCTTACAGATGCTGTATTTCCGATCCACTATCTCCTTCTTGGAATTGAGGAAGGTGAACGGCGGGCAGCAGTGTATGCTGAAGTGCTCGGAGTACTTCTGGTTTTTGGAGAGTCTGGGACCCTCCTTGGCCGTTTTCTGACTCATCTCACTGGAAATCGCCGATGCAAGGAGACAGAAAGAGACATAAAAGCACATCAGGCAAGGGAGCCCTCTACTCAGGAAGCCCCCTGCTACTCCCATAGTCCAAGGTAACATTCAGGGTGGTCCTACAGAGCAAAACCCTGGAAGAGCAACTTTCCCCCAACTCCGTGGAAAGGAACTCTACTAAGAGTTCATTAATTTTCATTTGTGTATTTTTAAAAATCCTGTTTTCAAGGAGAGAACGAAACATGGGCTCTTGTTTTCCTTATGTTTTAGAGACCCATGTAACATAGGAAAACATTTAAAACCAAACATATTCTTGACTAAATAATATTCTAGAGTTAGGAAAAGACTTTTCTCTAAAAAGCAAAAAAACAAAAAAAAGTTTTTTATTATTATTTGTTATTAAAACAATCATCATTCCTGCAATAAAATAGTACACAACAAGGAAAAAGAACAAACTGCTGACCTGCTGACATACATTAACACATTTTGATCTCACAGACTTAATGTTGAACAAAAGAGGTCAGACACAAGAAAACAAGCTGTATGATTGATTTTATATGAGGTTCAAGAACGGGCAAAACTAATCGATGGTGCTAGAAATCAGAGCATAGTTATATTTGGGGAAGGTGGGTTCTGACTCAGAAGGTGCAACAGGGGAACTTTCTGGGGACTGAAAACATTCCTTTTAGGAATGTGACAAATGCAGAAATAGTCCTACCTAACACTACAAAACACCGAAGTCCACAGGGGACTTACGTGACTATCAAACAACAAGAATCAACATAGTTAATGGGCATAAACTGGATACCGAGAATGTCTCTGCTCTCAACAAACTCAGAGTCAGGTCGGAGATGCAGATGTGCAGTATGTAATTACAAAACAGTGTTATGGTGACCAATACAATTGTGTACAAAGGTAAAGGAAATCATGGGAAAAGGATGGATTCCTTGAAGACAGAACCTATAATCTGGGTTTTTAAGGATGAGTACAGAAAAAGAACTAAATAACATTGAGGGGATATTTTAATTTTTTTGTCTGTTGGTGTGGTTGTCTTCTGCTACAAATAGAAATGACAGCTGAGAAGCAGGTAGAATGCAGTTACAAATACATCGCTTTTGCATCTCTGTGATCATCCAAATTGTGTGTCACATCTGTTATGGATGTTCAAAATATTCTTTCCCAATATCTCACTTGATTTTATCACGCAAAAAAATTAGTTTTACATTTAAGTATCTTAGATCTTATCAAAGGTTTTATATTTTTCCCAGAAAGTTTTCCCCACTCCATCAGCTTTTAACATACTCATATGCCCCATTTTAAATGAAAATCCTCTCTGGATCCTGCTCCCATGTCTTTTTGCTTCCCTGTTACCCTCCTCTTTTGTATAGGCAAAGTTCTTGAACAGTTATTGATACTTTTCCCCTCCATCTTTGCATCTCCCCCTCACTCACTCATCAGTGTACCCACTGTGGCTCCTGGTCCTTTCCTCCCAAGGAAAAATGACTCTACATAGCTCCCCAGAGACCTCCATGGTGCTAAACCAGTTGTCTTCATATTTGGTCTCCATCTAAACTCTTTCCTTTCCTGTGATACCACATTATCTTAGATCTCCTCCTCTATCTCTAGTCTCTCCTTGTCTATTTCTCTTATAGGCTCATCTGCTTTTGCCAAACCTTTCATTTTTTTAACCCTAAACTTTTAACGTTGGAGTTATTTAAGGTGTAATAAATACTAAATGATAAATGAAGTTAACTTTGCCCATTTAATTTAATATTTATTATACACTTTGGTTTTGTCTGGCACAGTGCTCAGTTCACATACTGGACACAAAGCTAAATCATGCTTAGTCCAGTCCTCAAGAAACTTACCCACCAGTGGGAGATACAGGCAAGTTTAAGTGATTAGAATGCACATAATGTGCTAATGGCCAGAAAAACCTCATTTACTGAGACCAAATAAGTACAAGTCACTGAGATGAGGAAGTGGGTAGATCAGATAAACATCCTGTTCACAATGAGCTCACATTGTAGGTAGAGGAATGTCCACAGACATCAATAAGTGTGATACAAGGCCAGCATGCTCTGGAACATGAGAATGTGCTGGTGCAATGGCATGAAAAGTCCACAGAAGAGAGGGCAATATGTTTGGCTAGAGAACAAGGTGAAACTTCATGGGAAGAGGCATTTCATCTGGCCAAAATGAAGGCTTGGGAATGACTGATACCTAAGCAGATACACAGTGAATTGCATTACCCCTGAGAGCCCTCATCCTATCTACACTGCAGAATTGAAAGACGTAATAGAGCCAGGACTCAGGCAGTGAGGCAGGTGAAATGTCTAACCTGTGTGACCAGGAACACAGTCATGCCCTCAGCTAATCAGAGGTCTAAGTAGATGAGAAGGAGGGAGATCATCTCATTGGTCTGAGATACCATGAGTTTAAAGAGCCAAGGGCATCCACAAAGAAACGGGCATTCCAAACTCAGGACCTAAAGCTCTCATCTTGAGAGCCCTTCACCTCATGGAAGGGGGCAAAACTTGGGCATGGATGAGATACCTGTGAACTCAGCGAGGAATCGGTCAAGGGAAGGCTTCCAGGAGGAGGAGTAGACCTGCCTTCAAGCTGTGGGAAGAAGGAGTAATGGATATTCAGAAAGGTAGGATGAGTAGCAGTCTCCTAGGAGAGAAATTGCTGAATTTTCAAAAGGAGATGATCAGATATATTCAAAGGAGCCCTTTATCCAGACAGGTATGTATAGACCAATGAGAAGCTGCAGCTGACTTCTAGGGTCAGATTCATTGCAAAGACCCTAAATGTCTGCCAAGCCCTTCCCCAAGTCCTACATAGGTCACTAAGTTCATCTAGAGTTTCTCCTTCCATGAGAAATAATGAAATGAAACACTTTAGGACTAACCTTCAGGAGTAATTTCTTCAGGTTCCCAGCACATAGAGACTGTTATTCAACTCTTCACAGGCAACTCAGACATTCCCAATTCCTCCGGCCTTCTAGGGCCACCTTTTCCAAACGGCTCAGGCACCCATCACAAATAACAGAAAATCTAGCTCTTATCCCAACTGTTTAAGAAATATGGGATAAGGAGATTTGAAGTCCCCTGTGACTCTGAATTCCTTCCCTAATTGAATTCTCAAATCCCACTCAGTGCTCCAGCTGATGTAACGCCTGGGTCACTGTATGCCCATTTGCACTCCCGCCCTGTCATTTCTTCCCCCCAGCACTTCAAGGGAAAATTGTTTCTTACTCTGTGACAACTTCCCTCACTCCCTGTCTCCCCTGACCATGTCCGGCCGGGGACAGCATCACCTCCAGTTATCCATCAATTCATGGTCCTGAAGGAAAAAGTAATTCCCTTCCCTGGAAGAACCTCACCATTCCCAGCACAACCACCTGAAAATGCATCCAACTTTCAAAATAATATTTTCTCCCTCTTTTAGTAAAATGTTTATATTTTTGAAAAGACTGGTGGGCGGATCACGAGGTCAGCAGATTGAGACCATCCTGGCCAACGTGGTGAAACCCGGTCTCTACTAAAAATACAAAAATTAGCTAAGGGTGGTGGCACGTGCCTGTAATCCCAGCTACTTGGGCGGCTGAGACAGGAGAATCGCTTGAACCTGGGAGGCGGAAATTGCAGTGAGCAGAGGTCACGCCACTGCACTCCAGCCTGGGCGATAGAGCAAGACTCCATCTCCAAAACAACAACAACAACAACAACAAAAACTGGCCTCCTGTTTTCCCCGGTGGCAGAAATACAGCACTTAGTTGGGGTACCTGGTTAAGTGGTTCTATATACTGTCTCCTCAACTGTCGGCCCCACGCCACCCTCCAATTTAAAAATGTTAAGCCCCACATGCTAAATGAGAGTCATCGTTTCCGAACACACCAGGATTGCTAGTAAATTCCTTGGAAATACAGGCTGTTAAATTAAGTTTAGCCTAAAGCCACATCCTTACATATTTTAAGTTCCGCCTAACAGTTTATTTGTACATAGTAAACTGTAACCTAACTGGATGTGTACATTGTAACTGCGTCTTATACCAATCACAGAGTTTTGGTCAATCACAGACAGCCAACTGTGTTCAAATAAGGCAAATTCCAGCTGTAACCAGTCCAGCTGTTTCTGTACCTCACTTTCGGTTTCCATTTGTCACTTTCCTTTTTCTGTCCATCGATGTTTTCTGACTGTGTGGCGGCCCTGGAGTCCCTCTGAACCTAATCTGGTTCTGGGGACAGTCTGATCTGTGAATTGTTCTTTGCTGAATTAAACTCTGTTAAATTGAATTTGTTTTATTAAAGTTTTTCCTTTAATAAAGCAAATAACTAACAGCGAAGAAGTAACAATTTACTGAGCACCATTGTGTATGGTTGTTTTGCATACTTTATCTCATTTTATAATGTAGCGTTATTAACGAACTAAAGATGGAAAGTCTAAGGAACACGACTAAATCCATAAGCCAGTAAGAGGCAGCAAGGGATTTGAATCCACATCTGTGTGACTCCAGCATCCTGAGGACTTTAGCCAGGTCCAACACTGCTTTGTGCTTCCTATAGACTCAACCCTCCTCCCAAGGAATAGGATTCCAGGTGCTGAGCCCAGACTAGACTTCGGGGGACCAGAGATGGACCCAGGGGTGGGATAAGGCTCAAAGATCCATGGGTCTATGTCCTAGGGTGAGAAAGACTGAAAATTGGGGAAACAAATCACTCCAGAAGAGAAAGATAGAGAATGGAGTTTGGAGGCTTCACAATAGAAACCAGGACTTCTCGGCCAGAGCCAGAAGGGTCCCTGTCCAGGACTAGCAGTAAGCTTGGGATG